GGCCTCCAATGGGGCGCTATTGCACAGGGGATCCTGCACAGCCATGGACAGAAATTTCACATTGGAATCAAAAAGTGAGCATCCTTGCTATGGTCTGAATCTTTGTGCTCCCACAAAATTTGTATGTTGAAATCTTAACCCCCATGGTAATGATATTAGAAAGTGGGGCTTTTTGGAGGTAATTATGTTATGAAGGGAAAAGCCCTCATGCATGGGATTAGTGCCCTTGTAAAAGAGGCCCCCAAAATAAAAAATAAAAAGAGTCCACAAAGAGACTCCTCACCCCTTCCACCATGGGAATACCATGAGAATACATCTAGAAGACACCATCTGTGAAACAGAAGGCAAGCCCTCTTCAGACACTGAATCTGTTGGCATCTTGATCTTGGGCTTTTCAGCACCCAAAATTGTGAGAAATAAATTCCTGTTGTTTATAAGCCACCCAATTTGTGGCATTTTGTTATAATAGCCTAAACAGACTAAGAAAATTCTTTATTTTTCAACCATTGTGTTTTCAGATCATTTGTTTCTTTGTTTGGTCCATTGTCGTTCAGGCTCTGAACTGGCTGACAAGTTGACTCCCATAGGCAACAGAAGATTAATCAAATCCAAGGATCCAGATCAATGCCTTGCTCTACTGAGCTGGATCATACATTTATGTTTATAACCTCTCTGGCTTGATTTCAAGGATATGAGAAACACCCTGTCATAAAATTACTATTCCTTCCATCTTGGCTATGGGGAGAAAAATCCCCCGTTATTTTTTGAAGATTGTTTTTCAAATGAAAGTATGTGTTCTTATTGTTGTGCAATAGTAAATACTCACTCTAGAAAATAATCCATTTGCCAGATCAACACAAATAAGTAAAACCCTAAATGAGATAAAGGACAGGTAAGTTACAATAAAGAAAATGATAGAACAGCAAAAGTGTATATGGTGAAATTTCTTCCTTTCACCATTTACTCTAGCTGTTCTAACACTTGAGGTCACTCTTAGAGTGCCTGATACAGTCTGGTGGAAGAGGGGACTGGACTCTGGTTAAGGTGATGATGTAGTCCATTACAACTCACGGTTTTATTTTGAGCATACGCTATGCTTCAGTTTATTCTTTCTTTTCACCTCAGCATGATAAATGCAGACTTCAGTACAGCCACAGTTCTGATTTCTTTTGGAGCTGTCCTGGGAAAAACGAGTCCAATCCAAATGCTGATTATGGCAATTATAGAAATTGCTGTCTTTGCTGGCAACGAATATCTGGTTGCTGAGATCTTTAAGGTAAGAGTTGGAGGATCTATACTTACCTAGCTTTGGGCATCAGTCCTGGACACAACACACAGTGGATGCCCACTCCACACAGGGGCAAACCTTGGTGAGAATGATGCCATAGCAATTAGTAATGACAGCTATCATTTACTGAGTGCCTATTATAAACCAGGGGTTTCATAAACATTATTTCATTTCATGTTCACAACAACTCTATAAAGTAGATATTATTGTTACCATTTATGCACAGTGAAACTGATGATCACAGATGCTAAATGACTTGCCTGAGTCTGGATTCAAACCCATATTTTTCTAACTCCACAACTGTTTTTATTATTTCGTATTGTCTATTAGTGATCAATTTCTATTTCTATTTCAATTACTGTGTGACTAGCCCTATACATAGCCTCATATAGGTTTTTGCTAAGGCCTAGGTCAAAGTTCTCCCCTTCCACAAAAAATCTTATTGATTGCCCTGCAGATAATAAATAGAATATTTCTGGGCACTCTTCAGTATTCTGTTATTTTGTTTATACTTCTGTTGAACATTTAGTTACACAACAAATATTTTTAGCAACTTTGTAGGTGTTGCTGATTCAGTCACAAGCAAAATAGTTAAGGAGCTTATAATCTAGTGGGGGAAACAGAAATCAAACAAATAATTACATATCCATCCATCCACCCAAAGACACACACACACAAAAATTATAAATTGAAATACATGCTATGAAAAATAAGTAGGGATGACCTAATTTATTTATTTTTTTTTTTATGGTTTTAAATAGTCTTTTGCTATTGGGAACATTTCCTTGAACATAATTTTTTGTTTGTGCTTGGGTAAAATGTCTTTAACCTGCCGACAGAACTTAAAATTGTATACGAAAATGGGTATTGATGCTGAGAAATGGTGGGTAGGCAGTAGATTTCTTGTTCTAGGGATTACCTAATTTGGGTTATAAAATCAAGGAGAGGTTCTTAGGAAGTCACAGGTAAGCTGGACCTAAAAGGTACCTGGGGGGTTTTCAATTAACTAATGGAGAGAAATGTACTTTAAACCAAAGTCACAGCAAGTATAGAGCCTTGAATTAATAATGAGAAACTAAAGGAAAACCTTTGGATGGAGCAAGGTGAAAAGAATTAACTGGTACAAGATAAAGCCACCAAGGTAAGCAGACCACATTAACAAATACCCTTTAGATGATGCCTGCTGACTGAGTAAAGACTAAGTTGATAGCTCCAAAGAGAGAAATAGAGAAGGTTTTTTTTGCTTACAAATACATGAGCATTTAAGAAGAGACACAGACTCACATCATATTTGTAAAGTCCAAGCAAGATTAACTGCCATCTCCCACCCTCCTGAAACCACATGGTATAGCAGGGCAGGGAGGGGACTAAGTGTTGAGAGAGGCTAAAGGTTGCTAGAAAGGTCAGACATGCTGGAATAACACTTGGACTCATTCCAACCAAGTGCTGGGTCTGTCTATGTCTAGTCAAAATGGAATAACAACCAGGAGACCCTTTTTACTTCAATTTGAAAATCTTAAATAAATTAATTTGTATCATTTTCCAGTCTTAATAAGTACAGAGTAATGCCTAGGGTTTGGCCATCTGAACTTTCCCTCTAGAAGCAGGAAATATAAAAAATTGGGTCAAATTCGTACCATGTCCAAAGAGGGACCTAAAATGTCTGTCTTCAAATGAATCTTGAAATTCAGCTGATTTTCATGTCATCATATAGCAGAGTAAAAAAATATAGGGGAAAATCTCCAGCATTTTGAAGTTTCAAGTCTTTGAGTAGCAATTAAGTGAGCTTTAACTGCAGTGTCCAGTGAGTGAAAATCATTTTTGTTTTGTATTGAGTACAATACCTAATATCTCACTGAGAATCTCCCTAACCTGGAGAAGTAACCTAGAATGTACTGAGTGCCCTCTAAGGATGTGGCACTTTAGAAACATGGTCACATCTAAGTCTCTGTTAGGTGGGTAATATTTCCCCATTTTACAGAACTTGAGATTGGGAGGCGTTTAGTTATTTGTCTAAAGTCACATTGCAAGGAAGTACCTGACCTAGGAGTGAAAATCAGTTCTGCATGGCTCGAAAGCCTGTTTTTTTTTTTTAATTTTACTACCCTGTTTTATCCCCCTTTTTCTGACACATTCTTTCTTTCTCAATGTATTTTTACTGTTTAACCAATGAAGCAATTCTTTCATTGACTTTTCTCCTGTGCTGAGACTTGGTTTCACCTCTACATGAATGCCGTTCTGTCTCCTCAGGCCTCCGATATTGGAGCCTCAATGACGATCCACGCCTTTGGGGCCTACTTTGGCTTGGCTGTGGCACTCATCTTGTATCGACCTGGCCTGAGAGGAGGTCATAACAACGAAGAGTCTGTGTACCACTCAGATTTGTTTGCAATGATTGGTGAGTGCAGATGAACTTGCCTGATTCTTGTCTCTTTGGTCAGGCACAAATGAAGCTTAACTCCAACAGGGTTGTGAAGATGTTCAAGAAGGGACATCCTTTGAATACTGCTTTTCTTTAGCTGGCTCAGTGTTCCTCTTTTCTCCTAGCTCTTAGACAATTAAGTCGAAAAGTAGAGACATTGTCAGCACCTGAGGCAAACTGCCTCCCTTGGACAGTCTTCCATATTCAGACTTAATCTCCCTTCTTGTGGTTTACTGCAGGGACTCTTTTCCTGTGGCTGTTTTGGCCCAGCTTTAATTCTGCTATTGCTGAATCTGGAAACAAACAGTACAGGGCCATCGTAAACACGTACTTCTCTCTCGCCGCCTGCGTCATCACAGTGTATGCATCCTCCAGCCTTGCCAAGCACCGAGGCAAGCTGGATATGGTAAGTGCCATATTAACTCCCATGAAATTTCACTTAGCGACACTGACAGTTGCTCAGATACGTAGGTCATTTCTGCATCATGGCTGAGCTATCAGGACAAATCACAAAATTGCAGACCTTGGAGAATGTTTTGAAAATAGTATTTATCCATTCATTTATTTATTCATCAAATTTGTACTCTTGCAAATTAAAAAGTGTTCTTAAGGAATTTACAGTCTAGTAGGCAATGTAGTCATGTAAAAATCAAAGACTTGAGGTATATTTCTTTAATGATAGTGCTAACTGCTCCCAAGTTCTTAGAAAATTTTCTTTAGAAACAAGACTCATGAAAGAGTAGGAGGAAAGTGGGATGGTGCACACTGATTCTGTTTTCCCAACTGCAAATTTTTCTGTCAAAGAAATAACAACTGAATGCACCGTGTGACCCCGAATAAGATTCTAGAAAAGAAAAAGGACATTAGTGGGACAAATAGTGGAATTCAAATAACGTCTTTAATAGTATTGTATTAAGGCTAATTTCCTCTATCTATGATTATGTTACATGTTAACATGGAGAAAACTGGGTGAGGAACATATGGAAACTATAGTATTTTTGCAAGTTTTATGTGTCTAAAATTAGTTCGAAATAAAATGTTTTTTTAAAAATTCCCCCAAACTGGTCTCTTGAGTTTCTTTCCTGTGAGCTAGAGAAACGGCAGTGAAAGAGTAACCCTACATCAGCCAGCCTACTTTTCTAACCTGGAGAAGGAAAAGAATATTGTAATTTATTTTTTAAGCATAGCTCAAAACACATGTATTTCAATTCTCTACAAATTGTCTCGCCTGTGAGCTAGAGAAACGGCAGTGAAAGAGTAACCCTACATCAGCCAGCCTACTTTTCTAACCTGAAGAAGGAAAAGAATATTGTAATTTATTTATTTATTTATTTTTGTCCTTTTTGTCTTTTTTTTTCGTGACCGGCAATGGATTGCAACCCTCAGTGTCGCACCCGTACCGGACAGGGACCGGCAACGGGATCGCAACCCT